CGAATTGCTGGTCCTGGAGCGAAAACCTGCACTTTGAAAAGACGCCAAATGAAAGATTTCAAACCTTATTAAAACGTTTTTATCCGGTTTTCAGCGATTTCTTTTCCTTTTTATACCTGTTTTCTTCATATTCTCTTCTGTGATCTTTTTTAAACAACCTTCACTATTTATGACGTCAGATGTTCAAACAACCTTTACTTTTGACGCTCTGTCTCTAGACTATCGAAGGTATGGGGTAGAGAAGGGGTCGAGGATCGCGCTGAAGTTTTTCTCGGGGGGGGGAAGAGGTCGTATCCGGCGGTCGTATGCCTCAGCGCTTGTTCGACTCTGGTCTAAACCTAATTTGGGTGGGGTTTAGGGGCATAATTGGGGTTTGGAACTTAATTAGATAGCTACAGTATGCCTTTGGGAGACATGCGGGGCACAAACGGGAGGTCTCCGGAGCACAAAATGGGTCGGCTGCGGAGCACAAGTGGCAGACCCTCGCGGGAGACCCCGCGGCCTTCCCTTTTGCCCTCCGCAGATAACCCATTGACTGTCTGAGGAGACGTGGTATTGTGTTGGCCATCTTGTTACACCTCTTGTTCGAAGCTGGTGCTAACCGGAATATCATTCAAACATGTTGTATTAGGTTGTTGCAGAAATAATGTCCGTTTTTCTGGGCCTACATTCCAAACAACTTTTTTCCATCAAACTTTCTTTTTCGATATAGCTCTGCATATTATTGGAAAGCTCTCTTCATGTTCTTTCTAATGGTGGTGAATTTAAGCTGCTATCCTCATTTGTGAGAATTCATCAGCACTTTCCCATCCGTACTCAAAATTAGAACCTCATAGCTTTCACTTTGACCACAATTCAGGAGCAAATAAACGAACTTTTCTGAAAACAAGCGAATATGTTGGATGAAGATTGTTTAACTACTGCATGCTTATGTAGATTTTTTTGGAGATATCTGTATTGAGAAGTTGACGCCTCGAAATAGATACTCGCTGCTGGCATTCTATGGATCAGAAATTTCCAATCAAGGCAATCGCCAAAGCTTCGCCCATTTTTGTAAACTTGAAACTAGCACTCCTTAATCACAATATTTGAAGAGAAACTTAGCTGTTCAGTGCGCGAAAAATTCCAAATTCTCATAATTAGGCACTTACAAGCCTAAAACAAATAAGCTCAAAAAAGTGAACACTTTTGAATTTTTATCCTTTCTTTTCGCAGAACTCCTTCGTTGGAGTTTCTTTCTATATACACATATACTATTGGCCTGCATCTACAATATCTATCTTAAAGGCAACGTCCACCCTAAGGTGAGGGTGTCGAGCTTTTGGCAGCATATAATAGTAGGACACCGTTTCGAGCCAATGCCGAAGTCACGGCGCAAAATGTCGCTTCGGAAGCGAGAAAATCCGCCCCGGAACGAATATGCACGGAAGACCCCAGACGGCAACCGCCCTCCCATCCATGCCTGCCCACGTGCGCGCCCAGCCGGTCACCATTCCGGAAAACCGACCTGCTCTCCGTAACAAAGATTGCTGAGATTTGCGCAGATTCTCGACTTTGTGTTCGGAATTAGGGAGATGGGAAGGTCTCGGAACAATCAAAACATGGATTGAGAATCTGGGTGGACGGTGCCTTTAACTGCTACTTTTCAGAATGTGACGTAGTTGTACAGATTGCAATTCTTGGATGATGCTTATTTGGACGATATAGAACAAATCTACATTAGAGTCTTCCCAGCAAATTCGGCAGCTATCGTAGCCTCTATTATATGACCATCTTACTGTAATGATATTCAAAGCATTCATGGCTGCCTCGGTTTACAAAGACCAAGTATGATGAGTCAGCTCCTCGCGTGACCAAAGGTCTAAACATGTAAATTGGCTAACCCAGTCCTAGCGAACTCGAGAGAACAAGCGGGTTGGGCCGGCATCCATCGTGAAGGTTGAATTTTGGTGCTATTCCAAAGAAAACAACAGTCGTCGACGCTTCAATTCCATTAAGTTGATAAAGGGAGCAGAATTAAGTAGCTTATGGAGTGATCTGCGAGGTCAGCGAGAAACATCATGTATTTTTCGCAAACAAAATAATTTTTGGAAATAAATGAGTACCATGAATCTTTCTCAAAAAGCTTCAACTCAAATTTTGACTGATCAGAAGTGGGCTGTTCCTTAGAGCTTTTATGTAAGACTTTGAATCATCAAAAATAGTGTTTCTTTGGTCACGTGCTTGATGAAAAAATGCGTCAACGGCACAGCTCAGCCATCTAGTTATATGTTTGCAAACAGAATGATTTTGGAACCAGAGGTGTAGAAGTAAGCTGAACTGCTGATTATTTGTGTGTCAGATCGAAAACTTTCACCTCCCATCAAACTGAGAAAAATAGGAAGCGTTGACTTGAATGATGATTTTCGTAATGGTTCGAGAAGTAGGTGCTAGAGTACGCGAATACCTGCTTCGGCTACAAAAGGCGCACACAATTAATGTCTGCTGCTCAATGTCTAGGCCTGCTCCAGCTGCAGGTCCCGCGTAGAATCAACGTCAATTCTGTGCGTCTTTTGCAGCTGAAGCAGGTATTCGCGTGCTCTGGCACCTACCAGAAAAAACAGAGGTATCTATTTGCGAGCTTTGAATGGCGCACGATGCAGTGCAACAAGAAGATCGTGAGCAATTGGTTGGGTTGAAGTATTAGCATCATTGCACAGTGTGGTACGTACAACGGAAAAGTGCTTGATACCCCATTACTCCTAGAGGCTGAGCTCTTGGAACGAACGTCAACATTGTGCGGCTGTACAGCTGCGAATGCGCACCCCGCGAGGCCACGCCCCAAACTCTGAAATCGAGCTCGCTTTTTACTTCGTGCGTTCCTACTTTCGTAAGTTGCGCCCATTGAAACCGCTTTCGATGTTATATTATACCAGTGCGTCACCTCCGCTTCGCGGAGGTTCGCACTGGCTCCCTATCCGTATGCCTTTCTCATGTTCGCATGAGAATGATTTTTAAACTCACCACGCGATGCTGAGAATCACTAATGAATCGTAAACAACTGTTCATTCATGAAGCATCTCCAAGTAAGATCGGTAATTTGGAGAAAAAAAAACTTTGTTGCAAGGAAACAGATGCGAATTTGAACGGACTACTAAATTTATTTGTTTTAGTTCGAAAGTCGTCATAAGGATAGTAGTCACCTTGGGCTACATTTCAGTGCAAAAATCTTTTAGTTTTTTTCAAAACAAACCTTGCCATATCGACTATCTACGCGTTCATCACTTTTTGGCGCTGTTTTCGCAAAAAAACAAACTTTTTGAGCACTTTTTGGGCTAGAATTCATGGCGCGCAGAGCTGCTTGTCAAGTAAATCCTAACTTTGCAAAAAGTCGAATTAGCGACCCAGTTTAGCGTGCCGAAAGGCGCGTGGACCCGCTTGACGCGCAAATTTTGAGGGACCCGCTTAGCGAACCGGCTCGTCCTTGTACATGGTGGGCCTACACGCTGGAGCGGTATGCTATGCAAAATTGCAGCCCGAGAACTTAGTTGCAGCTTCCTCTATGAATTTCGTGACAGACAGATCTTCAAACAGACACACAGACAGACACACAAAAAAACAGACGGTTTTAGCGTGTTATTATAGTAGGATGGTATTATACGGTAATGTATGTGATTATTTTATTTAGTGAAAGGAGATATGGTACGATTCTTGTCAGTAAATATGCCTCCATCATTGGCCAATCCAGGTTCTACTCTTGCTCAACTCTTTCTTGCGACAATGTTTATTTATCGATACAACGTTAACTACTCAGAGATTCAGACGTTCTCTCAATTTTTGATTGTGTTTCGTTCTCAACGCCACTTTGAGTGCGACAGGAATTTCAAGCGTGCGTTTTTCCAACAAATAGTTGTTGCTTCGATGCTCTTTTGCAGTCTGAATGTCTAAGGAGAAGAGCAGCTGGCGTTTCCTTTTCAAACAAAAAGTGCCATTGTCATTGCTATTTTATTCTGCCATTATGTCTTGATTCTAGCTTTAACCCCAGGTGAAAGGGGTCGAGCAGATGCTGGCCCTAAAGTGAAGGGGATCAGAGAAATCTCTCCACTTATCGCATGTATGATTGGACTGTAGCCACGCACCATTGCCAAGCGAGTTATGGGCTTTTTCTTACGCAAAATTGGCATACTACTAAACATGATAAGACTGCCTGTAGATAAAAAGTGCAATAAAAAAGGTGCTGAGGTATCAAAATAGTACAAAGCCAATCTTTTCTCACTAAAAAAAGCTTAACGCAGGTGTATCAGCACTTACAAGGAAAGTCCGATTAGTCGAAGTGGCCTTTCCGAATAAGTCATATACCATTTTAGAGACCGTTGAACGCAGAATCCAAATCTGATCTTATTATCTGCCGAGCGCCTCTGCATGCCGAGTTATAAATGTTTTTGGAGCGTAGAATGAACGCAGAATTTAAGTAAAATTAACTACTACGGACTTTTCAGCACCTAAATAGAGCAAATGTAGTATGAGTGTTTTCGACAAAAGGTATCCTTTAAGATAAAGTGCTCTGATAACCAATATTGGGCCATTTGAGCAATTCTGACGAATTTTGCTCTAATTACGCATTCAATTTTTCAAGCCAAAGAACGCTCATAACTCGGCGTCCAAAGGCGCTCGGCAGATAATGAAGACAGATTTGGAATCAGCCTTTAACGCTCTTTAAAATAGTATCTGACCCATTTGGAAAGGCCACTTCGACTAATCCGACCTCCCTTAGATGATGATGACGTGATGCCGTGAGTAAACAGCATGCCAGTTTTGCGCAGGAAAAGCCCATAACTCATTTCGAAATGGTACGTGGCAGCTAGGAATAGCATATTTGGAATGAGCGTTTGAAGCTGATTCAGAATATATATATATTTCTCTTGCCAAAAGGCCGAGATAAGTTAGGTAGCTTCCGTTGTTAGATATATTTTAAAGTGGCCATAAATGCTGTTGTCATGTAAACACTAGTGAATGCAAGAGTGTATTTCAGTAAATGCAAAGCATTCACGGACAACCCAACTCTCCCCATTTACTGAGAGAATTTTTCGTCAAGTCTTGATAGTATTCAGTATGGTAATGATAAAGCTCCTTGAGCTTCGCTCTAAAGCTCCAACTAATAAAGTTTTTCCAGCCAGCACTTTCAGCGCATCCAGCAGGACGGCCATTCAATTCTTCCGGAGCTGAAAAGTCAGATAAGAACAGTCGTTTATTGAATAGTGGCATAGGAACCATTTTACCTTCACAAGTTTCAATGCAGTCACCATTCCCCTTTCCTGTAAAAACAAGTTGGAGGTTTCGACTGCAATCAAGTATAGGCGCAAATCTTACCGTGGCAGAAACCGGTAGTGCTACTCATCCCTTTCTTGTACCAAAGCTAAATAAAGCAGTAGTTAGATGGTGTGTCTCAAAAATTTAACTGAATAACTAGTAAAGTTTTAGACATACTAGCCAGCGGTGCTAAGACTGTATTTTTACTATGAAAGAACTCAAAACAACAAATTTTTGGAAAGGCTTATAAAGTCTGAATATGTTTGATTTTCTTTCAGAGCAGATACTCAAAATGTGGTTTGAAATACAGTGCAATAACATTTGAATGAAAATCAATGTCCTCAATTTCGGTAAAATCTTGCAAAAAGCAAACGCTCGACTGAAGCGTTTTTACGCGCCCTCGTTCCTTTGAGATTAACCACTTTTCTAGATTGCATATGCAATCACTCATGACTCAAATTTGCCTTTAATGAACTAGTAAAGGTAAGGCTCATGATTTTAGCAGATGACTTTTTACGGCACTAAGCAAGCAAATGGCTCAGTAGACTTAGTAGACTTTACGCACACTGAAGAAAATTCTTCAGAAAAAGCTTACCTCTTTACCTGCATGATAATAGCCGCTCCATGGAATGCGAACTACAGGATCTGATGCATGAGTTATGCGGTATATGAATTTTACCTGCAAGCGAATAACGATGAGCTCACTAACCATTTTTCAATTTCACAAAGGTACGTAAGTTTTAGTTTGTAATAGGTTGTCCGGAAAATAATGTCGCATGGCATCCTACCGCGACAGACTGACCACAGAAAACAACGAATGGGATATCGTTTGATAGGATAAAGCAAGCTCTACAGGATAGCTTACAAACCTCCATTGAAATCTTGCACTACCTGATGTTCGAATTCAAAATACAGGGTGTCCCAAAAAAATGTATCGAACGTTTGATCGTTAATATCTCTCTTTCCAAGAAGTCTTTTGCCTTGCTTCAGGTACCGTTTTGTAGAGCAGGCTTCAGCTTAGATTTGTAGTATAGAACGAATCACCCACCTCTCTTTATTACTGTAGGATTACGGTAGAAACTTGAAACATATGGTGTCAATGTGGAAAAAGCTGCCGTTTCAGGATTTTTTTAAAAAATGTGATATCTAGTGTATTGGGGTTTTTATGGACGCTGAGTTCCATACTCAACTATTCACAAGATTACGAAGCTTTCTAAAGGGTGTAACCGCACTTTCTAGGAACATTGAAAAAATGGCCGCTACCTCTTACCGGGCATAACTCTTCAATGAAGCATCATAATAAATTGGGAACTTTACAGTTATAATCAGCAACTCTAATTAGCCTTGTGTAAAAGTTTTCAGGCTGTTTTCTTCCCTTTCTGGGGCAAAATACGGCCTTTCATTGCTCAAAAACCTCTTTGAAGTTTCTACCGCAATCCTACAGTAATGAAGAAGGATGAGTGATTCGTTCTATAATGCAAATCTAAGTTGAAGCCAGCTCTACAAAACGGTACCTGAAGCAAGGCAAAAGACTTTTTGGGAAGAGAGATATTAACGATCAAACGTTCGATACATTTTTTTGGGACACCCTGTATAAAAAATTTGCAGATGCCCGAAAAATCGCATCTTCGTCTATAGACGTCTTAGGGATCTACATATTGCACAGGCATGCACTCTCTACATTAGACAATTACCTGTATAGTTTGAGGTATTTTTCCATGGCTACAGTACGATAAACAAAAACAAGTCAAAATTACGAATATGTCGCTTTTTTCGGGTTTTTTGCAAACAATTCGTTTTTCCTCGAAAACTAGCCTTGTCTAAAGGTGAAGATTCATGGTCGTACTCCCAAATATTTATACTACAGAATCACTAATCTGAGATAAGCTTAGGACTGCTTTGACAAAAATATGCCAATTTCCTTTTCTCAAGTTCTAGCCATGGAACAACCACGAAAATATGCATATAAAATATATAAAATATGCATACGAGTGTCTTTCATAGTGAGTCCATGCGTGAGCGAGTTAGGAGTTCCCGACTTTTCTGAATGGAAATACGATTTTTTCTCGTTTTTCAGATTTTAAATGCCCTGTAAAGTTTGGCTACAAACTTCAGGCAAACTAAACCTGGCGCAAAGGTTTGAGCTTCATTTTGAAGAGCATTGATCTAGCGGTTGGCAACCCATTTACTTACTTTCGTGCTCATCCTGTCGCGGTATTGCATGATAAAACATGATGCGACATTGTTTTCCGGACAACCTATTACATGTTGAGGTCAGTCTGATCATCTGACAACTATATTACTCAGTTCTTTTTCATTAAAAGGTAAAAAAAACTGTGGCGCAGAAACCCACAGCAACCACTTCTATAAATCAAGCTTGTCTGGTAACATACCCGTCTTTCGAGCGCATCTCTGAACTTCAGATCTCCCACTCTCGGAGCTCCAAATGTGACTAGTCTTATCCTATTATTAGGGAATACTACGCTAGCCCAAGAAGCTGCCAAGTTCGCAAGGGCACCTCCAAGGGAGTGGCCCGTTATCTAAACTTTAACGTTAACAGGATTTTATTCCCTCATTTACAATCTACTTGCCCAAAGTTCATAGCGTCTATATTTTTGTACTTGTAGGAAGCTCGTCAGCTGGATAGCCAATGAATTCCATAAGTTGTCAAAAGCCATCTTAAAATACCTCCCAACGTGACCTCCATATTTCCATTCGTGCTAAAATATGTGGAAATGAGCTGAAAAGAGGGGAATCGAAGATGTTCTTACCTTGAACAATGCATTGCCTAAGGCTTCGTCAATTAACTGGCTTTTTCCACTATCTGTCCCTCTGTAAGAAATCGTTTTTTAGTATGTAAGTGTCATTATTGTGCAGCTGCACGCAAGAGCTCGTGTGAGTATCTATAATGTTGAAGTTTAGTGTTTCTCTGAAACTATTTCCACTTGAACTAAGCTGAGCTAGCTACGCGATTGCAAAAAAAGAGTTCCCTAGACTTTCAAAAAAGATTTTTTGAGTGCTGTTTCTCAAAGAAGTATGGCCCTTTTTGATTCAATTTTATTGCAAAGACAGTGTTCGGGACACGATTGTTGCTGGCTTTTTTAGTCTTTATTGCTGGTCAACAGCATGCATAGAAATGATAAGGTTGACTTTAAAACTGATCTTGAGTTGATCACGTAGAAATCGCAGGCATAACGGACGCTGGAGAGCTCAGTTGCTGTACTGTATAGAATTACTGACAAAATGACAAATTAAATATTCAAGAATCGTCATTTTCTGTTTTTCAAAAAAATGCCCCATTTTTGTGCTAGTGACTTCAATGTCTTCCCATTCTGCACAGAGTGACCCAAATTTTGATTATTGAAGTGTTGCTGGGGTAATGCCGTTGGGTTTTTCACACATAGTGCATGTCTGCTGCCAAAAAAGATTTGCTTAAAGGCAAGTATGACAGCTGATAAATTTTGGCGCTTATGGCATTATCAGGGCGTGGCTGCGGGTTTGTACTCAGCAGATTTTATTTTGATTCTCCAAGAGTCTAACGATGTTTAGTGCAAAAAGTCGCACAGGAAAGTATTAGATTGTCCGAAAATTAATGTCCGTTTTGAATTTCAACCGCAATAAGTCACACACTTTTCATTCCTGGATAGCTTTCAAGGTACCATTCGATAGGGCAAAGCAAGCTCTACAAGATTGCCTTCTTGCTTTAGCAAGAGCTCTGATTTACCTCGAGTTTTCAGCCAAAAACTAAAAAGATTCAACTGCCCAAAAAATCAAGAAAAACCATAATTCTCGTAATTCTACAAAATTCTGACTTGCTCACGTAAACACGATCCACATAAGACATACATGTACGCCTTTGCCATATTTTTTCCTCTGTTAGAAATCGAAAAAACGAAAATTTCCAAGCTTTTGCAAAAGTGATGCTGTGTCGTCTCCACATAAGTAGATGTATACTACAAATCTGTAGAAGTACAAATGTGGATTTTCAGCTTTTTACAAGCTTTAGCTCTCGAGAAATTTAAATTTTAGTTTTGACCACCTGACTAATGAAAGCTATATTATAGCTATTAAAGCTATATAAAAGCTATTTTTCTCGATTTTTCAGGTAGTTGGATCTTTTCAGTTTTTGGCTCGAAACTCGAAGTGGATCAGAGCTCTTGCTAAAGCAAGAAGGCAGTCTTGTACAGGCAATGGCAAAAAAAAGATATTTCTTTTCTATTCGACTTAACAGAAATTTTTTTAAGGTCTAAGTGAGTGTGGGAAGCATGCTTTCAGAAGTGAAATTTTCAAAGGTGCCTGGGAACCTTCTTCACAACCTAGTGTTCTAGCGAATTTCAGCCGACTTATAATTGCAAATAGATCAAGGGACGTTTGTTCTGATTTGCATAGTGAACATTCCAATATAAAAACTGTCGTCGAATCGGAGAATTGTTGTATAATTATTGAAATCACTTGGTATACAGGGTGTCTCAAAAAATGTGCTTGCTTTTTGATTGTTAGTGGCTTTCTTATAATGGATCAAGAGGCTTGAGGTACCATTTTGTAGAGCTGGTTTCATCTTAGAATTACAGTATAGAGCGAATCACAGATCATCGCTCTTCACTACTGTAGGATTCTTTTCTGTTGAAATTGACGGAATGTAGAATTTGAGAGATCTTGGTAGCATTCCAAAACAACCATCCTATATCTAAAGGTTGTGAAACTGTTGCAGTCAATGAGCTTTCAGAAAATAACCAAAATCTGCGACCAATTCTTTTTGAGATGAAATACAGCACAACTTTTCTCTCTTTTTCATAGCTTGCCACAATTTTTCCAAAGATTTTTGATCAAAACTATTGATTTTGGCACGCCTGCTCCAGCCACAATCGCATCAAACACCGATTATTATTCGGAATTTGAGACTACGATGTTATGATTCAGCACTAATTTTGCAAAGCAAAAGAGAGTACGGAAAATCAAATTTCGAGTTTTCCGAGTACAGCTTAAGGCGCGGTTAAAAAAATGAGTTACGATGATTTTATCTCCGAAGACTAAACAAATCGGGAACAAGAAACACCCATTAGAAACAGGAGGAATAGCTACATCAAAAAGTACCCGAGCTGCTCTCTCTTTTGATGTTCTACGAAGATTTAGCTGTCCAAGTATGGAAATTGGAAGCATCTTGAAATTCTTTCAAAAAAGTATGACGAGCTGTGGAAAGAAGAAAATTGTTTTGCATCCTGTAGGGTTTGCCTTATACGTTAATTTTGCTTCTTCCGAGGGTCGGCATAAAAGTTTGAAATATTGCGAAACCTGGCCATCTTAAAGAGCATGGATCGCAGATTTTGGTTATTTTCTGAAAGCTCATTGATTGTGCTGCAACAGTTTCATAACCCTTAGCTAGAGGATGAAATGCTGGTTCAAATGCTACCAAGAAAGTCTTAAAAATCTTCATTTCATCAAATGTGGCGCCCTTTTGGAAAAAGCGAAATTACTCTTGGAATGACCTAATATTTCCTCAATTTGGCAAAGGTTGAAGCCAAGACCCGTGACAAATCATAAAAGCAAAATTCAAACTAAGTTTCCTCGTGTTAGGAAATCAAGATAAAAATGAAAAGTAAAAAATGGCTAGTAATCCTTAGCAATCCTGCCTCCCCTATATGCAATTAGCACAAACCTTCGAAATTTCGTCCAAATCATTTCAGTTTTGTTCACCGCTAGTTCTTGAAAATTATCAATTTCAACCAAAATCAAAAAACAAGTTGGGGCTTGGTATCAAGTGCTGTGTCTATGTTAGATGGCCTTGTTTTGTGTTTAACCAACCTGAAACTTATCACTATCGCTCGATGGTTAGGTAGAACTGCAGTGAATACGTAACACATCTCATCGAAGCGGCATTTCGCACTAAGGAACCCATTTAGATTTATCTGAATAATTAAAATTACGATGCGAGTTCTGTCTAACAGTAGTCAATTTTTTGGATTGATTACCGCAAAGACATAACATCAATTAGCTAGCAGAAAATTCTGCTGTACTTTTCATAGCTGATGTCATCTTTTTGTATAAAATCACTAAGGAATGCTTTACCGCGTCTTTATCAACTTTTCTTATGCAACGTTGCATCATCGGCGTATCGGCGTAAGCTCCAGCCGCCATAGGAAACATCTTATTTTTTGCGAAATGTTTCGCCGTCCACCATTCTTGCTTGTCAACTTTAGCATTTACAACGATTGCAAGACAAAGTGTAGCGATTAACATCGTCACCCTATGAAAGTGATTGTTAGTCCTCTAGAATGAATCTCACTTCTGGTTCCTTACATCTTGTCTATTCAATCAACAGTAATGTTGTTCCACGTAGAGCGAAGCCACGAGCTGACAAATGCCTAGAAAGAAGTTGTGAATAAAAAAGTCTAGCCAGAACTGTACCTGAAGTCGTTCAGAGTGTTTTTCAGATGACATCTATCAGTCACTTGTAGAATTTTATTTATTTATTTATTTATTCTTTACGCTCTAAGGCGTGCCACAAAGTAAGACTAAAGGAGCAGTTGAGATACACATATTCTTTAAAGAAACACAAAATGTATATATTTACAATAAAATCATATTCAATTCAGGTCCAGTTATAAACTAATAAAAATTACAAGCACTAAGGTTTTGCCCAAGCAGATACTACCAGGAAATATAATTCGACGGAGTTTGTACCCATGCCCTCCTCGCTTGCCAGCAAAAACGACCTTGGGAATTCAGTAGGAGTATGCCGGAAGTTCGGAAAGCGAGTTGTTGCATGAAGCAAATCAAACAATAAACTAACAAGGGAAGCGCATTGACTCCGAGTGGACTTTTCCAAGGAAATGCATATAGGTTTGTAGGTCCTGATGTGCAACTTACAAAGCAGCATTACGAGTGCCGAGAGGTCTTCTGGGCCAAGGTTATAAACGTTTGAAATTCAAGTCTTACATATAAAGCTGAATGTGTGCTTGTATGTCTGTCTGTATGTATGTGTATGTACGTACGGAATAGAAATTTTTACCGCTAAACCGATTTGAACCAAAATTGGCACACATACACGTCGTTGCAGGGAGCGTGTCATAGGCTACTTTTCCTTACCGATCAATATTGTTTGTTTTATCGATTTTTCGCTAGTATGGCCCACGAAGCTAGGAGTTGCCATGAGAGGGGGGGGGGGTAAGTGTGCATGCTGATTACGAATACAATATCCGTTTCTGGGATTATCGATTACTTTCATCGATTTTATCGATTTTTTGCAAAGTTTGAGCTACCGGGCTGAGAGTTGGCACAGGGAGAGAGGGGGGGGGGGGGGGAGGGGGAGCGTAAGTGAGCACGTTGATTGTCAACACAACGGGAATAGGGAATTGGCATGTAGTGGGCACAGGGAAAGGTTGTACAGGGATAGGAATAGGATCTTTATGATAGTCTTTTGACAGGGCCGAGCGGAGTCGGGTAAGCCAGCTAGTATATTCATAATTATCACGTCAAATATCCGCCTGTGGGCCAAGTTTTAGCAAATTCTGGAGCTTCCCAATATCGGCACCCAAAAGTGGCCAGTCTCAAACATGCTCTATTATGGGGTGTCTCAAAAGTATGTACACACTGTCTGATCGTTTATGTCTCTCTTTCCTGAACGTCTGCTGCCTAACTTTAGGTACACTTCTATAGACCTCGCTTCAACTTAGGTTTACAGCATGGAGCGAATCATCGGCCGAGTCACAAAACCAAAAATGAACTTTGCTTCTTACATTCTTCAACTTAGACCACATAAACTGCAATAGCTGTTTTAACTACGTTTGTGATTATATCAATTGAGCTTTCAAGACTTCTACAAAGTTGAGTAGTAAAATCAGCGCTCGTAATAACCCTACCACACTACTTTTGGAATTTTTCGTAAACTTTTTTTTGAGAAACCACTCATCCACAATGACGCTGTAAGTCAAAAGTCTACCGTAGACTTACAAAAATGGCAATCTGTGCGTCCTTTAAACTGTGAGACTTGTAAGTTGAGCCCAGTTTTGCAAGTTGGTACCTGCATGTAGACAAAAGACTCATTGGAAAGAGAAATATCAGCGTTCAAAGTATACATACTTTTGGAACACTCTGCATATTCCAAAAGTGAATTGGCTACTTCTTTTTGTACTCAATACACAGCGTTACTCCATGTCATACCATGTATTATGCTTCAGATAACGCCAAACTAAGGAATTGGAAACCGGCTCAAATCTCATTTGTCCCATTTTTCGCTTGCAGTGGTCCTGCTTCGCAACTTCCTCAAAAGAAAGAAGACGAATTCACTTCCAATAGATTACACAAAAACAACGAGGTTTTGACTATAGAACTACATATAATTAATTCTCTATTATTCTCTTTGAAGGTAATTCAATGGGGCGTGGCACAATCGCAGAAAACTGTGCCACACCCCCATTAACTTACCTTGAAACCATTTAAATACCTACGGCGTTTTTATACCGTTGCTCTGCTTACTTCCTCTTTATATATCAGGAAATTCATTTGGAATCTTTTAAGAAAAGATGCAGTGGTTTTTATTCTACCCATGGAAATGGAAAATACTGCGAAAATACTGGGTTACGGTAACATGCCAAGTTTACGCTACTATGTGAATCGCAAGGGAAGGCGATAAGAATATATATATTAGGTCATTCCGAAAGTAATTTCGCTTTTTTCAAACGGACGCCACATACGATGGAACAAAGATTTTTAAGAGATCTTGGAAGCATTCGATGCAGAATATCATTCTCTTTCTAAATGTTAAGCAATTGTTACAAAACATTCAATGAGCTTTCAGAAAATAATCAAAACCTGCAACCCATGCTCTTTGAGATGGTCAAGTTTTATGATTTTTTAAAACTTTTATATCAATCCTCAGAAGGATTGCAAGTAACGATTCGATAGTGTAAACCTTATAAAATACAGTACTACTTTTTTCTCTTCCTCGTATCTCGCCGTAATTTTTTAAAAGATTATTTAAGAGAACCATCGGATTTTGGCAGGCCCACCTCAGCCACAATCGCATCAAACATCATAATTTTTCGGAATTTGGGACTACCAAGATAGTACTATTAGTTAGCATAAATTTTACAAAGCATGTGAGGGTTTACGGGTTCGAAATGTCAAATTTCGAGTTTTTCGGGTACAGCCTGGGGCTCGCTTTAGAAATGAATTGTGATGATTTCATCCCCGGAAACTAAACGAATCGGAAACAAAAAACACCTGTTAGAAAGAGGATAAAATGCTGCATCGAATAGTGCGCGAGCTGCTTTTCTTTTGATGTTCTACGAGGATTTAGATGTCCAAGTATGGAAATCGGTAGCATCAGTTGAAATTCTGTTAAAAATGTATGACAAGCTATGGAAAGGAGGAAAAAGTAGTACTGTATTCTATATAGTTTACTCTATCGAATCGTTACTTGCAATCCTTCTGAGGTTTGATTTGAAAGTTTTAAAAAATCATAAAACTTGACCAACTCGAAAAGCATGGGTTGCAGGTTTTGGTCATTTTCTAAAAGCTCATTGACTGTTTTGCAACAGTTACATAACCTTTGAAAAGAGAATGAAATTCTACATCGAATGCTACCAATATCTCCTAGAAATCTTTGTTCCATCGTCTGTGGCGTCCGTTTGAAAAAAGCGAAATTACTTTCGGAATGACCTAATATGTATATCTTCGATAGTCTATGCCTCGTGATCTACATTAAAGTGAGTTAAGACTGATTGGTCTTCTCTAATCTGGATATTGAAGGCGAAAAATAGAAAAAAAAATGAGATTTTGGCTTGCTCTCATTTCCTTAATTTGGAGTTTAATTGGTTAAGAATTCCTAAATTGAGCATAAAATGGGGGTGAGGGAGCTTCTCAGACAATCACAGGCTCTCAGCCGGCAGCCACAAGCCACCGCGAAAACCCACCAAAAGCGCGGTGGCTTTGTGGCTGCCGGCTGAGAGCCTGTGATTGTCTGAGTTAGGACCCGAGCCTACTTAGCTCGATTCGGGGAGTGCCTGCAGGTTACAATCATGCTCGCTGTCTCTGATTACTCACCAGAACATAGCAACAATCTACCCCCCCCCCTCTGAGAGCCTGTTTGGAACCTAGCCAAGGAATGCTGAATATCTCAATTGAATTTCATTGCTGGTTCTAAGCCAAAAACCTTCAAAGTGATCGTACGAAGGTGAAGTTAGGCTCAAACGGAAGAGAAAAACCGTACCATTATCATAAAGTATCTACTGATTTGAACTGATTGAACACAACATTTTCTTGATTCAAAACTTTCTTTAAGTGTTAAATTATTGAAAAGTTATTCAAAAAACCGTCAAGTCCCAGAAGAAATTTATTTGAGTGCTGAATCCGGGCAAAAGACTAGAATACTATTCGAGAAATGACAGTTCAAAAACTTCTCAAGATTGATAGTTATTTAAATGCTGAAATTTATTCGAAAGACTAGAAAATCAATTGCGAAACGACAATTCATAAAATTCTCAGAAACAAAAGCTTTTTGTGTTTGCCCGGATTTAGCACTCAAATAAATTTTTTCTAAGACTTGACGGGTTTTTGAATAACTTCTCAGTAATTTAACACTTAAATAAAGTTTTGAATCAAGAAAATGTTGTGTTCAATCACTTCAAATCAGTAGATACTTTAAGATAATGGCACGGTTTTTCTCTTTCGTTTGAGCCTGATTTCACCTTCTACATCACTTTGAAGGTTTTTGGCTTAGAATCAGCCCTGAAATTCAATTGAGATATTCAGCATTCCTTGGTTAGGTTTCAAACAGGCTCTCGGGAGGGGGGGGGGCTAGATTGTTGCTATGTCCCAGTGAGTAATCAGAGACAGCGAGCATGACTGTAACCTGCAGGCACTCCCCGAATCGAGCTAATTAAGCTCGGGTTTTTAAGTTCCGACCTCCAAAAATGGTAGTTCTTCGCTTTAAGTGCAAAAAGAAATAACTAGCTCATCTTTGAATAAAACTATCATGATTGAAAATGACCATATATTTGAAAACCTCGGAATTCGCTGAAACTTAGCCCACACGGATATTTACGTGCTCATTGCGAAAATGATGCTCTCATGCTTCAAGGGCTCTTTTATCATACTTATGACACATAGATGGAGCCAAAACATCGTTGTGCTAGTATTTCGCACAATGGGCCTATCTGACACTGTTAAATGATATCATGCCATCGCTGACATCAAGGTCATCTTAGGGCCGCATGCACTAACATCCCCGCGGAGGGGGGGGGGATCGCAGCTTAAAAGAAAGCTTTATATTTCGAAACTCCAGATACCTGGATTTCACGTTGTGTACCTATCCGTAAGTATTCCTACTACCCTTCACTATGAACATGTTGAAGAGGAGCGAGAAGCTGTACGAACCGCATTCTCCAGCTTTTGTATAATCCCTGATGATTCCCGGCGCTTTTCTTTAAAGTCATTTTTCTTTCTCCGAAGTTAACGATTAACTTCCAAAGTTGTGCAGATTATCTAACCCAACAGTGCTAAGCATGTTGCTGATGAAAACAAATGATGTTTTAAAGTCATGAAATTTTCGATAATCCACAGGTCAAAATTTGGGGTTTACCAAAAAGTTCGACTTTACAAAAAACTCATTTGTTCTCATCAGCAACATGCTCAGCACTGTTGTGTTAGATGTTCAGTACAACTTTGGAAGGTTTTCGTTAACTTTGGAGAAACAAAAATGACTTTAAAGAAAAGCGCCGAGATCACCAGGGATCATACAAAAGCTGAAAAATGCGGTTTGTACAGCTTCTCGCTCCTCTTCAACATGTTCATAGTGAAGGGTAGTAGGAGTACTTACGGATAGGCACACGACGTGACATCCAGGTATCTGGAGTTTCGAAATGTAAAGCTTTCTTT